ATTTGGGCGGGAGGGGCAAGGAGGGGCGGGCAGAGGAACGCGGCTGCTCGCCTCCATCGCTGCCGCGCGCACCTCGGCGGCCTTCTCCGCGAAGCCCGCCGCCTGTTGGGAGAAGACACGCGGTAAAGAGACAGAAGGTGCGGATCGTAGCTGCGGGAGTGTGCAAGCCTCGAGTGCCTCCGCCTGCTGCAGCGTGGAGCTCAGGCCCGCGGCCACCGCCTGCGACAAGAAGGAGCAGCTCAGAAGCGGACATGCGAAGAAGAGGCCCCTCCTGCTGGGCTGTGCTAGGCAAGCGTGTCTCGCCTCGGTCGTGGCGCGCGGCCGCCCGACTGGCGCGGACCCTGCAGCGCCGCCGTCCTCCTCGTCGCTCTCGCCGTCCGCCTGCACGTCGGCGGCGCTCAGGTAGTCCGGGAGATATGGGGAGATAGGGGGAGATGTGTACCTCGCGGCTCAGGTAGTCCGGGAGAGCGTCTCCGTCCGCCTGCGAGAGAGGGCCCCGGTCAGGTCCAGGGGGGAGGGGTCCAGGAGGGAGGGGTCTTGGAGGGAGTCGGGGAAGGGCGTCGTCCGCCTCGGCGAGCAAGCCGCCCGCCTAGCAAGAAGGGGTGCCCCCGTGAGGAAAGGCCAGGCGCAGCACTGTCAGGGGCGAGCGATCCGCTCGCCGCCGCCGCCGCGCCCGCCTCGGCCGCCGCCGCGTCGGCGTCGACCTGGGCGAGGACGGCCTATCCTCGCTCCATCACTTAGGTCAGTCTGAGTCAGCCTCGGCGAGATCTGGAGAGGGGAGATCGCCTCGCGGCGCGTGCGGAAGTCGGCGCGGACGGCGTCGATGGCGGCGCGCTCCTGCTCGCGGCTGGAGGTGTGAAGAGCTGGGGGGTGTGAAGAGCTGGGGGTGTGAAGAGCTGGAGGTGTGGAGAGCTGGGGGTGTGAAGAGCTGGGGGTGTGAAGAGCTGGGAAGGTGAAGAGCTGGAGGTGTGAAGAGCTGGAGGTGTGGAGAGCTGGGGGGTGTGAAGAGCTGGGGGTGTGAAGAGCTGGGAAGGTGAAGAGCTGGGGGTGTGAAGAGCTGGGGGTGTGAAGAGCTGGGAAGGTGAAGAGCTGGGGGTGTGAAGAGCTGGGAAGGTGAAGAGCTGGAGGTGTGAAGAGCTGGAGGTGTGGAGAGCTGGGGGGTGTGAAGAGCTGGGGGTGTGAAGAGCTGGGGGTGTGAAGAGCTGGGAAGGTGAAGAGCTGGGGGTGTGAAGAGCTGGGGGTGTGAAGAGCTGGTCTCCCTGCTCACAGATCCGGCGTCACACATGCGCCGCAGCAACGGCGAGTGCAGATCGGCGTCGAGGGCTAATCTCGGCGGATCTCGGCGGATCTCGGCGGATCTCGGCGGATCTCGGCGGAGCTCGCGCCTCGGCGTCGAGAGCGGCAAGCTTCGCCTGGCCTGCGGCGCGCGCAGCCTCGACAGCGGCGGCGGCGGCGGCGGCGGCGGCGGCGGCGGCGGCGGCTGGACGCGCGGAGGAGGAGGGGAAGACGCCTGTGTGTCCCTCCGGTGGCGGGGGAGGCGGAGGCGGAGGCGGCGGGGGAGGCGGCGCACGCGGCGGCGGCGACGGCGCCTCTTGCCTCGCCTGTGTAAAGAGAGGGCTGGTGTGGCGAGGAGAGGGAGAGAGGCGTGAGAACGGGTCGACTGTTCGCGCCGCCACACGCTCTCGCACCGACACGCCCGCGCTGGCGATGGCTGCGCCGGAGCTTGGGGGCGGGGGCGCCGCCTGGGTTAGGCAGGCAGGGTGAGGGTCAGGGTCGGGGTCAGGGTGAGGGTGAGGGTGAGGGTGAGGGTGAGGGTGAGGGTGAGGGTGAGGGTGAGGGTGAGGGTGAGGGTGAGGGTGAGGGTGAGGGTGAGGGTGAGGGTGAGGGTGAGGGTGTGCTGATCTCGGCTCGTCTTGGCAAGTCTCGGGCTCGTCTCGGCTCGTCTCGCCTTGTCCGCGCCGTCGGCCGAGGAGGTTCGCTGCAGCAGGTGGGCGCGCGCCTCGCCCAGCGCCGTCTTGAGCTTGCGGAAGAGTGCGTGGTACGCGAACGTGTCGCCCGACAGGCGACAGCACGAGATGGAGAAGTGGCCGTCCGCCTCCTCGGAGACAAGTACGCGCATCGCCACGTCGCCGCAGCGCGCGGAGAGGGAGAGCGTCTCGCCGCTAGCCTGCTGACACCAGCCCCCGCTAGCTCAGCCCTACACCCTCCTCCTCAGGGGGGGGGTCGGGCCCGCTACGAGTCACGGCCTCCTCTCTCCCCCCTCTCTCCCCCCCCTCTCGTGCTCCCCTCGTCCTCCTCTCTCGTCCTCCTCTCTCGGCTATGTCTCGCCGGCCGCGCCCCAATCTCGTACTGCGTGTCCATCTG